TATTCTAATGATTCTTCTACTCCAAAGATAGGTTTAAAACATTTATGAAAGGTCATGAACTTAAATAACTTCGATTAAATGTAAGAAAATTTACCTTGGCCATTGCAATCGTCCCACGTGCTTTCTTGTTTCCTAGCCGATCTAACTGATCAGCTGCTTTCAAGACTAGCAATCTCGTTCTCTCAAGTTTCACGCGACACAGACACAAACATAGTCATTCTCTCAATCATTGTTATAGATTTTGGGGGGCAATCATGTGGATACTGGCATTGTTTGAAAGTTAGGAACCCTGCCCAGCAATCAACTTTCCAAACACACTTCTACTAAGAGCCCTCTGAACTGCCATCCGCATACCTCGTTCTGCAGCTCCTACCAATCGCATGCAATGGTGCAGCCTCCCTGGGCCAAGCCTACCCTGGAATGAAATACAGAACCAGAGGAAAGTCAACTGAGTTGCGGTAGGCAAGCAGCTCCAAGGACGTCAGGACACTTGTGTAAATAGTGAAAATATAGGTGTAACGGCCCAAACCCACTGCTAGCAATATTGTCCTTTTTGGACTTTCCCCTCTAGACTTTCCCTCGTTTTATCTTTCTCTCCAACCGATGTGGGATCTCACGAGGAGGTTGAGCCCCGAATGGAGGGTGGATTGGGGGTCCCACATCGATTGGAAAAGAGAACAAGTGCCAGCGAGGACGCTGGTCCCCAAAGGGGTGAATTGTGAGCTCCCACGTCGGTTGAGGAGGAGAATGAAACATTCTTCATTCTTTATAAGGGTATGAAAATTTCTTCCTAGCATATGCATTTTAAGACCTTGAGGAGAAGCCGGAAAGGAAAAGCACAAAGAGCTCAAATAGAATAATATTTGCTAGCGGTGGACTTGGGCGGTAAGAAAATGATAAAGGAAACAACCATGTGAAACTTCATTAACGCTTGTAAGGTAGGCAATCATTCACCATTCTAGTTCTACTAAAGAAAAAAAATCTTGTTCTGGTTTTAACTTGGTTAATGAACTTGTTTGTGAATGGTGAATGAAGTTTACACAATTATTTTTCCGGAGAAGTTCATACAAATTCAGACATCTAGTGTCAATATACTCCATTTTACTGAAAGCTAAACTGCTCCGTCAGTCAAGTTTCTAGGGAAATAATACTCAAAGTAGACACCGATCATTTGCAAGCTAACATAAAGAATCTGAATGAAATTACCTGGGCAATTTCAAATCAACGACCCTCACCGAGTATAATATTTGTTGCAGGAACACGCACATTGTCAAATATTATCTCAGCATGCCCATGAGGTGCGTCATCAAAGCCGAATACTGTGAGGGGTCTTTTAACTATTACACCTGGAGTCTGGATGTCAACTAAGATCATGGACTGTTGCTTATGCATAGCAGCAGTAGCATCTATTTTTCCCTGCAAATAATGGAGAGAAGCATAGCAGCAGTAGCAACTGTTTTTCCCTGCAAATAATGGAGAACCCCTCGTTGCATCGATACTAATATAACTTAAATCTTAAAAAAAAAAAAAAAAAAAAAAAAAAAAAAAAAAAAAAAAAAAAAAAAAAAAAAAAAAAAAAAAAAAAAAAAAAAAAAAAAAAAAAAAAAAAAAAAAAAAAAAAAAGATGAATAAACAATTCTTATAAATAGTAGAACTAACCATAACTATAAGGATTTTGCACCTCGGATCCATGGCTCCACTTGTCCACCATTTTCTTCGATTGATGACAAAGGAGTATCCATCCCTGCATGCAAGTTAACAGTTGAAGTGTAATTATACCAATAACAAACTCCATGATGCATGTACACTTCAAGATCTTTCATATTTCTAAAAAAAATCAATTTGCATTCTAGAAATCATTACAGAACTATGAATGCAAAATAATGTAATCCAATAAGTGGAAGTATTTTTTTTTTCTTTCTCTTTTTCCATAAGCTAATAACTTAATTAGGAGAGATCTTTTCTATGAATAAATGTTACATCGTTACCTTTTGATTGAACATTCAATATTTGTTGCATCAGAGGATGCAACTTGTGGTTCAGTCATTGCAAATCCCGACCGTATCTTTCCTTCAAGTAAAGGAATAAGCCATTCATGTAGTTGTTGTTTATTGCCATACCGCAACAATACCTGATGAAAGGACAAAATGATAAATAATAGCTCCAATAATGGATGCTTAAATTGCATCATAAATTTTTGTCAAAAATTGACCATACCATTGGTGTCAAAGATACAACGCATTTATAACCAACCATACATTACTCCACCTACAGCCCAGAAGATATGCAAAGAGTATAATCGTAAGAAAATTGCATACAGATCTAATTCATTCATTGGTCTATTCAATTTATTAGAGTAGAGCCAGAATCCAGTACAGCAGTGGTGAGAATTTAGGCAATCTACAAAAGGCGGCAGCCTAGCAAGCAGAATCCAGGCTATAAAATCTGATCTTACCTCCTTATTTCCAGTGTCAGGTGCACCACAGTTAAACACCTGAGGAGCCCAAATAGACCGACCCATTATCTCACATAGTATCCATATTCAAGATTGGAGAGGCCAGCACCAAGAAGGTTGTCTGCACCAGCAGAAAGGATGTGGCTACTTCCATCAAAAAGCAGTTTCCTTGCTCTTGAAGCACTATCAAACTGCACGAAACATCTTATTTCTTATACTAGTATTAAAAAGAACAATATGAGCACATATACGATCAAATGAGAGAAGCCAAAATCCAAACAGGTATCCACAAGTTCCACAAGCCTTCTTTCTTAGCCATCTCCTTCAGTTTCTCTTCCTCTGGGTGAATGTTCCAACGTTTGGAAGATTGAGCAAGTTTGTAAAATTCATTTTCCATAGGGTATATATGATCTTCCATGAACTTAATCAACTTGTTTCTCAACTCCATGACCTTTTTACTGGGGACAAACTTTCCTTCATCTTTGAGAATGGCCCATCCTTCATTCTCCTTCCTAGTATCTTGTGAATCAACTTGTACAATCGAGTCTGAAGCTGTTGAAATGGAAAAGCACTTTATGAAATAGCCTTGGTTATGTTCTACTAGAAGCCAAAAGCTTTCTTAAGCCATAGAACTACCAAATGGAGGATTTTCAGGAAGCACAGATTTTTGTTCAATAAATTCCCAAGCGGCATCCATAAAAGCATCAGCTTTTTCTCCAGCAATCCGAGCACTCTCACCTCCTGATGCATTTCCCTGCATTCTCAGAAGAAAACTGTGAATTATTGCAAATGAACTTCAAAACCATCCTTTTTGCCCATGGTGCCCCACAAATTCAATGATTGACAAGATACCATAATCCATCGATTGACTATAAATTCCAGCAAAGATTGCAGCAGCTCAGAAAATGAAGGCAACATAAAACTTCCAAGCAGAAAAGGGCCATGGTTTTCCCTGCAACAAGAAAATTTCAGCAAAAGTGTGCCTCAAGAATCAGTGGCATACATTTTAGATAATGAACATTTAATGCGGAATTAACTCTATTGATACTTTATAATCAAATCAACCTTAAACTTGCATACTTCATTTATACAAAAAGAATTAAGGCAAAAAACAATACAAAATGAAATGCCCTATACTAACCTACATACACGGCCTAAGCACGCTTAACTACGGAGTTCTGATGGGATCCAGTGCATTAGTGCTGGTATGATCGCACCCGATCCCATCAGAACTCCAGTTAAGCATGCTTGGGCCGTTACATTTGAGGACTCAAAATCCACAAGAACAGCAATAACGACTTCAGGCACACCTGTCGCTTACAGTAATTTTCTGGAAGCCCGAATTTTCCCAAACCGACAGCATTTACATCAACTGAATGTAGAGCAGCTAAGCTTTTAGCAGCTTCAAAGTATATAGCCTTCCTCGTTTCAGGAGCAACTCCCTAAAGAAATGACATTAATCCATCAGAAGCAAGTCAATAGCTAGTAAAACTTCAAAACTTACTAGACGTACCGCCAACTTGGGGTCTAGAAATATGCGTCCATCCAAGTACTCCATAACATAAAACGGAGTACCGATTACGCTCGAATCAGAACACAAACAGAATACTTTAGGAACTGGAATCTGTGTGTGATCACCTAATGCTCGAAGAATCTATCGCATCAGAAATTGAAATTAAAAAATCAAAACCTTAAAGTTCTCATAGCCACAGCAATTTGGAAAATCATATATTAAGATAGCTCATGATCACTTAATGAAAGTGAAATGAATTCTTGATCATCCTCGCTTGTGTTGATTTCTATCCTTCATTATATAACAAGAACTAAAGATTTCTATCCAAATAAGAAACTGATAAGCACCTGAAACTCCCTCTCAACGGCATGAGCAGACTGGAGCAACATCCCGGGAGATTTCTTCCTCAAAACATACCGGTTCTAAGATGCTCCAGAAGTAACCTCGATAAGATAAGTCGGGTTTGATTGGCCATAACCATACTAATCTCCAGAAATTAAAAGGGAAAACACAAAATCAATCAACAGCAATACACCACACCGATCAAATTAGAACTATATGGGGAGAGACGATGAAGTACCTGAGAGACTTGGAAATTAGACAGAGGGGGAGGGAGGAAAGGAAGTGGCGTTGGCGGAGCAAGGCATTGAGATCAAGCTCGTGAGCAGGACGAACATGACCGACCAGATCAAATGTGCGTTTCGACATAATTCATTTTAAGAAAAAAAAAAAAAAAAAAAAATCCTAATAATTGAATAATTGAGCCTAATTTTAAGATTTAAATTCTGGAATTAATACTTTTATAAATTAATTTTATTTAGAAATTTAGTGGACTGATTTAAAAAATTAAAGATTATAAAAATTTATACCTTTAACGATTTTTAAATTAATTTGATTAAATTATAATATATAATAAACTACAAATAATAAATCATTGTAATCTCAACTCACTCAAGAGAGAAAAAAATCCCTTTATTCAAAATCTTAAAATGAATGATAAATTAATGTTCAAAATCTTAAAATGAATGGTAATGTTTTTAAACAAAACTGTCTAGAATTCTGAGTCCTATAACTTGGTTTCAGACCATTGTCATGCCTGAATAGCTGAATCCAGGAATTACTATGAATAAACACGAAAAGCTTCAACTCATGAACTCTAGGAGCTCTATTCTCTTGGTTTTAGATTTTCATTAGGGCACTAGTGTACGGTATTCCGGTGTTCTTGATCCAATCATCACCTTGAATAAACAAGGAAGGGGTGAAATTGATGGCCTGTTTTGCTGTGATCTGTTTAACTCCCTTCCACTTAACTCTATTTTCTTTTGCTGCACCAGGTCCTCTGTTATCAAACTCTGTGTAATACAAAGTATTGAGAGCAAAATCACCATTCCATGGAAGCCAACCTTCAGGCTGGATCAAGTCGTCGATTTGGCATTGCATGATGACGGTTCTTGAATACTGCTTCCATGGGCGACCAAGGTAGGACTTACTGGTATGGCGAACGGGGTAGTAGTCAGGGTCGGAAGAGATGGTGCAATTTTGGAGGACGATACCAGTGGGCTCATCACTCTCCATTCGACCTTGGGCAGTGATAGGGCATGGTTGTTTTGGCTTTGGCTTCCTCACTAAGATCTTACAGTTCTGTAACACGACAGCAGCATTGCCAAAGATGAAATCAACGGTACCGGAGATTGTGCAATCCCGGTAGAATTGACGTTTGGCATGGGGGTAGAAAGTATCTTGATAGCCGTCCATTCTACAATTGTAGAAGATTGACATGTCGGATTGAACTCGGAGTGCCACGGCCTGGCCTTTGTAAAGTCCAGCCGAGTTCTCGAACCACAAGTCTTTTCCGATGAAGTTGGATCCGACAGCCGCTGTTAAGAATATGCAATCATGTTAAATTCACTTATTGAATTCGTATGAATACGATTATAAATTAGATGGCAACTTACCAAAGGTAGCACTTTTGAATGTGGGTGTTCCATCCTCGACACTCTTGCGACCTGTGATCTTGGTCTTAGTCGGGCCGTCTCCAATCACCATGACATAGGTCATTTTTTTGTCCACCAACACTTGCTCTTCATAAACTCCTTCCTTCACATAAATCACAAAGGTTGTATTGCTCTTCAATGGTACCTCTTTAAGGGCTTCAGTTATTGTCTTGTACTTTCCACTTCCGTCTTTAGCCACCACCACATTCGCCTTGATGTTAGCTCCAGTGGCCTCGAGTAGCCCTCGCCTGTCGCTCACCCAAGATGGCTCTCCCTCTTGGTATTCATTGGATTCCTCTGTTCAAGATGGCTCTCCCTCTTGGTATTCATTGGATTCCTCTGTTCGAAGTTGTCGCCCCGTTTGTGGCAACAGTCCCAACTTCTCCCACAAAGTGCTCACAAGGGATGTAACCTCACCCACCATCACAAGTCCATGTTAGAATTGGTCAATCCATTAGAATAGCTTGAAGTTAGTCATGCCATAAGAATAGGCTTACTTCGTTAGTTTCCTATGAAATCGGATCTATTAGTTAATCTTTTGCCAATATAAATAGAATATGTCCTCAATAGTGTGAGGTACAGTTTTGCATAAACTTGATATGGTATCAGAGCAGAAATAAGATCCACGAGATCCATAGCCTCTGCTGTTAGACATGTCAATCCCAAACAACACAATGTCTTCTCCGTCGATCAGTCAGGTGATTAGTGTTAAGCTTACACAAGAAAATTATCTACTGTGGTCTACCCAAATCCTTCCCTACTTGCGTAGCCAAAACCTTGTTGGTTTTGTGGATGGATCCATGCCTGCACCAAGCCAGACGATCGCCGTTGAACCAAGTGAAGAAACAGGGAATCGCAAAATTATCATCAACCCTGAGTTCACAGTCTGGTACCCCCAGGACCAGCTGGTACTCAGCCTCATCAACTCATCAGTCACTGAGGAGGTTCTCAGCACGATGGTTGGAATCACCACTGCACGAGAAGCCTGGATTACGCTGGAGCGACAATTTGCTTCCACATCTCGAGCAAGAGCAATGCAGATCCGTATGGAACTCTCTACTATCCAGAAAAAGGACATGACAATTGCTGACTACTTTCGTAAAGTAAAACATCTTGGTGATACACTTGCTGCCATTGGCAAGCGAATAGAGGATGAAGAACTCATCGCCTACATGCTGCAAGGACTTGGTCCAGATTATGATCCTCTAGTCACAAGCATTACAACCAGAACAGATGTATACACTGTCAGCGACGTGTATGCTCACATGCTGAGCTATGAGATGCGGCACTTGCGTAAGGGTACATTTGAGCAACTTTCATCTGCTAACAATGTCAATAGGATATCCATTCGTGGAGGTGCCAATGGAGGTCGAGGTAGTCGCGGTCGTAGTCGTCAGTTAAATAGTGGTCATGGACAATCAAGGCGTACTGTGAACAATCCTGGACGTCAACCATCAAAGACACAAAGCAGCTCAGGCATTGTCTGTCAGATTTGTGGTAAGCCCAATCACGATGCTTTGCAATGCTGGCACAGATTTGATCAGGCATATCAAGCCGAAAATAATCTCAAACAAGCAGCTTTGGCAACAAGTGGATACACTAGTGACACAAACTGGTATGTTGACACTGGAGCCACAGATCATATCACCAATGACCTAGAGAGGCTTACCACCAGAGAACGCTACACTGGCACCGACCAAATTCAGGTTGCAAATGGCGCAGGTTTGTCTATCTCTCATATTGGGAATTCATTAATTTCTGGTTCATCTCTTGTTCTGAAACATATCCTATATGTTCCTAAAATCAATAAGCACCTAATTTCAGTACAAAGACTAGCATCTGATAATAATGCTGTTGTAGAATTTCACCCAAACTATTTTTTGGTTAAGGACCGAGTCACGAAGAAACTCCTGCTCCACGGTAGATGTAAGAATGGCCTATACGTTCTACCGCATAATTTCAGTCAAGCCTTGCTGACAGCCAAACTTTCGAAAGAACAATGGCACAGAAGGCTAGGGCACCCTGCATCTCCAATTACCATTAGAATTCTACAAGATAATAATTTAGCTATAGATACTAATATTCCCTCTTCCTCAATTTGTAATGCTTGTCAATTAGGGAAAGCACATCAATTGCCATTTGGTTCTTCTCAGCATGTATCTACAGCACCCCTTCAATTAATTCACACTGATGTATGGGGTCCATCCATTGCGTCAGTAAATAATTCCAAATATTATGTTTCCTTTGTTGATGATTTTAGTCGTTATGTTTGGATTTACTTTCTGAGATGCAAATCTGATGTTGAGTCTGTGTTCCTTCAATTTCAAAAACATGTTGAAACTATGCTAAATACCAAAATTCGCTCCGTCCAATCAGATTGGGGGGGTGAATACCATCGGTTACACAATTATTTCAAATCCACAGGCATTGAACATCATATCTCCTGTCCTCACACACACCAGCAGAATGGGTTAGTCGAAAGAAAACACAGACACATTGTAGAAACTGGCCTTGCTTTACTCGCTCAAGCCAACATGCCTCTATCCTACTGGGATGAAGCTTTCAACACAGCTTGCTTTCTTATAAATAGAATGCCCAGCCGAACCATACAACAAGACACACCACTTCATAAATTGTTTGGTAAAAGTCCAGACTACTCCATGCTTAGGGTGTTTGGCTGTGCTTGCTGGCCTAATTTAAGGCCTTACAACAACAAGAAACTGAGTTTCAGAACTACTAGATGTATATTCTTGGGTTATAGTTCTTCTCATAAGGGATATAAATGCTTAAATAGAAGTACAGGACGTATTTACATCTCTAGAGACGTGGTTTTCGATGAAAATATTTTTCCTTTTGAAGAATCTAAGCCACCAAACAAAACCACAAATCCACATCATCCTGTTCTACTTCCAGCCTTAGCCAAACTTGCTAGTTTTTACACTGAAAATGCTCTTACAGATATTGAACCAGTTGTTAGTAATTCCCATATGAATGATGGTCAAACTGATAATATTGCTAGTGACAACTTGTCTGGTGTCAGCTTATCTTCTGCAGATAATACAAGAAGTTCAGAGGAAATTGCAGAATATGAAGCTGAGAGCAGTTCGACCAATGCTCAAAACCAAACTCATGAACATGTGTCTGATCAACCAACTGAAGCAGCTAGTCAACATCCAATGCGAACAAGGTTGAGAAATAACATTGTACAAGCTAAACAATTCACTGATGGAACTATCAGATATTCAGAAACCTCAAGAAAATTCGCAAGCGCTGTAACTATCACAACTCCGATCATAGAGACTGCTACTGAACCTCGAAACCTGCAGGAAGCCATGCAACATCCAAGATGGAGAGGAGCAATGAATGATGAGCTCTCAGCGCTAAAACGAAATGCCACTTGGGATCTAGTTCCACCCAAACCTGGAATAAATCTCATTGATAGTAAATGGGTGTATAAAGTGAAAAGAAAAGCAGATGGGTCAGTTGAAAGATTAAAAGCAAGATTAGTTGCCAAAGGATTCAAGCAAAGATTTGGTGTTGATTACACTGATACTTTTAGCCCTGTGATCAAACCGTCAACAATCAGGGTCATTCTTTCGCTAGCAGTAACCAAGGGCTGGAATATGAGACAAGTTGATATCCAAAATGCATTTTTGCATGGAATTCTGAAAGAGGAAGTGTACATGCGACAACCACCAGGATTTCAAGACTCAGCCAAACCAAAGAATTACATATGCAAGCTCAAGAAAGCCCTTTATGGCCTGAAACAAGCCCCAAAAGCTTGGCATTCAAGGTTGACTGGAAAACTTATTGAGTTAGGCTTCAAGGCTTCAGTAGCTGATTCATCTCTTTTTATTCTCAAAAACAGAGAGATAACTATCTATATGCTCATCTATGTTGATGATATAATTATTGTGAGCTCCTCTGATCAAGCAACCGAAAGGTTGATTCAGAAATTGAAAATAGATTTTGCAGTAAAAGATTTGGGTGGTCTTGAGTATTTTCTGGGTATTGAAGTCAAGAAAACACGAGATGGTATCATACTGTCACAGAGACGATATGCCTTAGATTTGTTGAAAAGAGTAAACATGGAAAAATGCAAACCTATGTCTACACCAATGGGTTCTGCTGAAAAATTATTCAGAGAACAAGGAATACCCTTATCAGCTGAAGAACAATTCAAATACAGAAGTACAGTGGGAGCACTACAATATTTGACAATGACTAGGCCTGATTTGGCATTTGCTGTCAATAAAGTGTGTCAATATCTTCATACACCTACTGATGCTCATTGGGGTGCTGTGAAGAGAATTCTTCGTTATGTTAAAGGCACACTAGCATTAGGAGTGAAAATTCAGAAATCAACCATGATGTTGTCGGGGTTTTCTGATGCTGATTGGGCTGGTTGTCCCGATGATCGACGTTCAACTAGCGGCTTTGCTGTATTTCTTGGAGCAAATCTAATCTCATGGAGTTCCAGAAAACAGGCTACAGTGTCAAGATCAAGCACCGAAGCAGAATACAAGGCCATTGCGAATCTTACTGCAGAAATGATTTGGATCAAGTCATTACTGAAGGAACTGGGCGTGTATCAATCAAAGGCTCCTCGCCTCTGGTGTGACAACCTCGGAGCTACATATTTAACTTCAAATCCAGTATTTCATGCTAGAACGAAACATATTGAAGTTGATTTTCATTTTGTTCGAGAACAAGTAGCACGTAAAGCAATGGAAGTTCGGTTCATTTCATCAAGTGATCAAGTAGCTGATATCCTGACAAAACCACTGTCTAAAACTCCTTTTACTACACATTGTAACAATCTCAACATGTACAAGACTTGTTGGGATTGAAGGGGACTGTTAGAATTGGTCAATCCATTAGAATAGCTTGAAGTTAGTCATGCCATAAGAATAGGCTTACTTCGTTAGTTTCCTATGAAATCGGATCTATTAGTTAATCTTTTGCCAATATAAATAGAATATGTCCTCAATAGTGTGAGGTACAGTTTTGCATAAACTTGATAGTCCATTGGCGGTCATTTCTTTTGACGTCTTCAACAAATTCTTCATCTTTTCACCAGTATCGCCAGGAACATTCTCGAAACCATCCAAACAAGTTTCTTGATATGTCAATGCAGCGCTCAACCAAATCCTAAGGTTCTCAAGATAAGCATTCACTCTGTGTACATCAAAACTATCGGTGATTTTATCAAAGGAAGTTAAAAGATCATCAATTGCATAATCCATGAGCTCGTCGCAAGCATCAACTGCTTTTTGCGCCATGGGGTCAGTGGCGGCTTGTTTCAAAGTGGGGGAATTTGCAATGGCCGCTTTGAGCTGCTCAATAGCAAAATGGAACCCTGCCTTGACCAACTCACGTGGGTCTTTTGAGTCAACATTGGACTTCACCAGGACTTCTTCGCAAGTTTCACGGTAAGTAGTGGGCTCACATAGGGTCTTAATGGCAGCATTAGAGGAGCCAGGTTCCTCTCCTGCGCCACTTACACCGTTAACCAAGGCAACAAAAAACAAAGACAACAACCCAACCAGGGCAGCCTTATTGTTCTTGCATCCACCACCGTCATACGCCATGTTTCTTCGCTACAAATCTCAAGCTGTTATTTATTTTTATTATTATTATTTTTTTTGTTTTGTTTTCTTGGGTAATGAAGATGGGAAGTTGCTGCCTTGATTTCTTTCCGTTCAACAAATGACTTGTTTTTATATGAGAAAATTTTAACAGAATTTCTAAATTGAAGTAAATATCGTTAGAGTTAGGAGCATTCTGGACCAATCATTTTTATTTATTTTTTTTTCTTAAATAAAATTTCCGCATCTAAATTTAGTTGATTTTTACTCTAAACTTAAAGATTAATTGAGTTAATCTTTGCTAATTTTGTATTCAAAATCATAGTTGATTATGCTAAACATTTAAATTAAGTTTTTTTTTTTTTTTGTTGTGCTTATTATGAGTAATTATTCGAGTGGAAGTTCATTAGCTCAGATAAGATTAATATATGATCAGTAAAAAATACAACCCATAAATCTGAAGGTTTTGTAGCGATAAATAAATTTGAATAAAGATGCAACAAAAATGAACATTAACTTTTACTTGTTTAGGATTGATAATGACCTTTAACCTTACTTGTGAAAAAGAAAACTACTCATTTTTCCTTAATTGTCCCATAAGCTACATAAACTACTCAAGGATTGGGTCATTTGGAAGCTATTCTGTTTAGTTAACAAGTCGTCAACATTGTTGAGCTCTAACCAATTTAGATATATATAATTTTCATCATGTGGTCAAGAGATTCAAAACCCTACCCCATATGATCCAACTAAAAAAATTGATGTTTTTTTCTTCAAAATAAAAATTAACTTTAATATTTGAAATAATAAAAATAACAGTAAGTTTTCGAATAAGGTTTTGATTGTCCATAGAAATGTCAAGATATCAATTTCTTTGGAAACATTGAGACGATGATCGATTTTATCTGTTCCTAATATTCCATTTGGTTTGAGACATTTTTCCTTTCAATTTTCAAAGCTTAGCCCTCCGAAGCTCTTGGCGATGGTTCCTAAATGAACTTCATCAGGGCCATCTGGTATTCTGAAGGTTCTTGCAGCAGCCCAGAGATGAGCATGAACAGTGCCAGAAGATAAGCCACCTGCACCATGAACTTGCATTGCCATGTCCAGAATTTGCAATGCCATATTGGTTGCTGCAACCTGTGCCATGTTTCACCAAGATATTAATGAAGACGTGGTAAAAAAAAAAAGGAAAAAATGAGAGAGGAGAAGGGTAGAAATCTGTTAAATGGTTAACAAAAAAAAATGAAGATAAGTCCGAAAGAACGACAATTAGATAGGTTGGCTTTTTGTTCGATTCTTCTACTCCAAAGATAGGTTTAAAGCATTTATGAAAGGTCATGAACTTAAATAACTTCGATTAGATGTAAGAAAATTTACCTTGGTCATTGCAATCGTCCCTCGTGCTTTCTTGTTTCCTAGCCGATCTAACTGATCAGCTGCTTCCAAGACTAGCAATCTCGTTCCCTCAAGTTTCACACGACACTGACACAAACATAGTCATTCTCTTAAAAATTGTTATAAGGGGGTGGGGGGAAATCATGTGACTACTATATCCAAATACTGGCATTGTTTGAAAGGAAGGAACTCTGCTCAGGGTCACGGTCCTACATTTTTTACCGTGTGGCATCGTGATATTGACACGCTCACGACTAGCCTTAAGGGGAATCAAGCCCCATATATATTTTTCACTCCGGCTTTGTGGCTTCGTCGGACCTTGGGCGAAGTTTGTCTTCGCCAATCGAATATCGCTTATGTGGAATCCAAACTTGTTCAACCACACACGCCGCCTGCACGTGCATGTTCAATTGTCTGCAACACATCCGACTTGCCTCTACACTAGGCCAAGTCATTCGGCTCGACCTTGCCTCTACTCGAGCCAAGGTCTCTCAATGCAACGTCGCATCTCATCTTTTCATCTCGATCCCCATCGACAGGGTCCATATGTCTTGACGCCACCCCGAGTCTCAGGATGTCGTCGGCCATCATAACTCGCTCAGTCATGCCATGGAGAATGGGTCCGCGTGTCTTTCATCTCATTGGGACTTCCCAAACATCCATCCATCCGAGTTCTATCAAGACATTAGCCCTCCCTTGCCCATGCCGAGTCATTTACGAATACCGTACCAGATAGCGGGTGTATGTAGCAACCTCGAACACGCGGGCTAGGGCACAATACCGGCACATCGGTGCCGTCTGATACTATCCTACAAAAATCCATTTCAAAGGAAATTGCCCGAGACACTCATCTTAGCACGCTCGCCCACACTGTGACACACGTATGTGCCACAGGTTAGCTCACTTAGACCACAAGGCCCAGGGTGGTGGAGAGCTAACACCATGGTACCTTTATAGTACATTTTAAGTCATTTTCAATTTTCAGGCGTAGACATGATTTTGGTGAACGGTCATACGGTGTTGTGCATTGTCCGTCCGATGTCCGATTGACACCAAACAAACATTCATATTTCATATGGATGGACTTAAATCCCGAACCGCATGTCCAAATTCCTTTTGAAACCCCGACTTTTTGAGGTTAGGGCCTGAGGCCCTACCCTTCCCTTCAACAACCCTATCTTTACTCTTCATGTCTATTCAATGTCTCTGTCTTGCTTATGTCTCAACTTGTCTTCAATGCCCACTTCGCATGGTGGTGTGTTGGATGATGGATCATCCTCCTCGATCACATCATGACAATCTTCTATATTGGCCCGCATGTGGTCGGATGCGCGTCTCTTGAGGGACGCCAATTTGCTTGTCATGAGGTGAGGGTCACAACCTACTCTCTTCATAGTATGGTTGTGACATTCTCCCCCACTTAACTTAGTCATCGTTCTCGATGACTTACTCGGGCACAATCGTATTGCAGATTGTGACATTTTCCCCCATTTAATTTAGTCATGGTCCTCGATGTCTTTCTTGGGGCGCATTCGCCCCACTAATTGTGAAATTCTCCCCTACTCAATCTCGGCCTCGTTCGGATGACGAAACTAACTCTCTGAATGTTGCCAACGCGACTCGCTGGAATTGGTTGTGTTTAAGAAAGGTATATAATTATTAAGCACCTGACTATCTTTTGTCATAATGCTCATCTTGATGACGTCTTCCGTCAGCTTGGAGACAAGTTCGAGTGGATTCTTCTAACTTCTCTTTTGTCATGTGGCACCACAACTCTTGACTTGGTTAGTTGTTGGGTGAACTTGCCTCTAGATGCTTTGACTTCTCTTTTGTCATATGACACCATCTTTTGTCATATGACACCACGTTCTGACTCTTGACTTGGTCAGTTGTTGGATCTTGCTGACGTCTTCCGTCAGCTTGTTGACAAGTTCGAGTGGATGCTTCTAACTTCTCTTTTATCATATGACACCACGACTCTTGACCAATCATATGGCACCACGACTCTTGATTTGGTCAGTTGTTTAGTGAACTTGCCTCTAGATGCTTCCGACTTCTCTTTTGTTATATGGCACTAGGTTTTGACTCTTGACTTGGTAAGTTGTTGGATCTTACAAATGTCTTCCGTCAGCTTGGAGACAAGTTCGAGTGGATGCTTCTGACTTCTCTTTTGTCATATGGTACCACGACTAATGACTTGGTTAGTTGTTGGGCGAACTTGTCTCTCGATGCTTCTGATTTCTCTTTTGTCATATGGCACCAGGTTCTGACTCTTGATTTGGTCAGTTGTTGGATCTTGCCGACATCTTTCGTCAGCTTGGAGACAAGTTTGAGTCGGAAAATAGAAGAGTTGTGTGAATCAAAAATACAAGGGAGGTTCATGGCCAAGGGAAAGATGCTCGAATAACAGTTATTTTGGAATGTACTGTTGTGTTTGAAATGGTGTTAATAAGGAATCCGTGGGGATTTTCAGATATATTACTCAAAAGAATCGACACAATACGCCTAGTTTGTTGGAATTGAGAAAATTCTGTCCCCGTTACAAACATACGATTCATGGGGAGATAAAGAAATAGATCAAACCAATCGTCTGTGTGTCCATGTAGCACCACGTTCTGACTCTTGACTTGATCAGTTGTTGGGTGAACTTGTCTCTTCTGACTTCTCTTTTGTCATACGGCACCTCTGGATCTTTTGTCATATGGCACCACGTTCTGACTTAGTGCTGAGCTGGTCTCTAATGACTTAGTGCTGAGCTGGTCTCTAATCCGGCCTATAATCAGTGGTATGATCAGGATCAACAGATCCTTAGCGGTCTTCTCTCCTCCATGTCCGAGGAGATTCTTCACGATGTGGTTGCCGCTACTACGTCCAAGGAGGCGTGGGATACCCTGCAGCGGATGTTTTCGTCATCAACTCGTGCTCACACTACTCAGATTTGTGTTGAGCTCACCACGACCAAGAAACGAGATCAATCTGCTGCAAATTATGTTCACAAGATCAAAGGGCTGGCCACCGAGCTTCGCAAGATCAAAGGGCTGGCCACCGAGCTGGCCGCCGCCGGCTCTGCCTTGCAGGATGGATCTTTTGTCATATGGCACCACGTTTGACTTGGTCAATTGTTGGGTGAACTTTCCTGGATGCTTCTCACTTCTCTTTTGTCCTTATGGCACCGTGTTCTGACTCTTGACTTGGTCAATTGTTGGCTCGTTTGTCATGTGGCACCGCGACTCTTGACTTAGTCAATTGTTGGGTGAACTTTCCTAGATGCTTTTCACCACGACTCCTTGGTCAGTTGTTGGGTGAACTCACCTTTTTGTACATTCATCTGTAATTCTTCAATTTTTGAGACCCACCTTCTGTTAACAACTTTAGGAATCCCATAAATATTTTCGAGACTCACCTTCTATTAACATGGCACTACTCTTAATTTTTTATTTTCTTAAAAAAGTAAATTTTAAAATAAATTAAAATACTATTTAAGTTCTTTTTTATAATTTAAGATTCATTTAAGAGAAATTAAAAAAAAAATCCTAATAATTGATAATTGAGCCTAATTTTTAGATTTAAATTATGAAATTAATACTTTAATAAATTAATTTTATTTAGAAATTTAGTGGAGTGATTTAAAAAAACTGAAGATTTAACCATTTTTAAATTGATTTGATCTTAATTCATAAAATTATTTAGTTAAATTATAATATATATTAAACTACAAATTGTAATCTCAACTCACTCAAGAGAGAAAAAAATCCCTTTATTCAAAATCTTAAAATGAATGATAAATTATTGTTCAAAATCTTAAAATGAATGGTAATGTTTTTAAACAAAACTGTCTAGAATTCTGAGTCCTATAACTTGGTTTCAGACCATTGTCATGCCTGAATAGCTGAATCCAGGAATTACTATGAATAAACACGAAAAGCTTCAACTCATGAACTCTAGGAGCTCTATTCTCTTGGTTTTAGATTTTCATTAGGGCACTAGTGTACGGTATTCCGGTGTTCTTGATCCAATCATCACCTTGAATAAACAAGGAAGGGGTGAAATTGATGGCCTGTTTTGCTGTGATCTGTTTAACTCCCTTCCACTTAACTCTATTTTCTTTTGCTGCACCAGGTCCTCTGTTATCAAACTCTGTGTAATACAAAGTATTGAGAGCAAAATCACCATTCCATGGAAGCCAACCTTCAGGCTGGATCAAGTCGTCGATTTGGCATTGCATGATGACGGTTCTTGAATACTGCTTCCATGGGCGACCAAGGTAGGACTTACTGGTATGGCGAACGGGGTAGTAGTCAGGGTCGGAAGAGATGGTGCAATTTTGGAGGACGATACCAGTGGGCTCATCACTCTCCATTCGACCTTGGGCAGTGATAGGGCATGGTTGTTTCGGCTTTGGCTTCCTCACTAAGATCTTACAGTTCTGTAACACGACAGCAGCATTGCCAAAGATGAAATCAACGGTACCGGAGATTGTGCAATCCCGGTAGAATTGACGTTTGGCATGGGGGTAGAAAGTATCTTGATAGCCGTCCATTCTACAATTGTAGAAGATTGACATGTCGGATTGAACTCGGAGTGCCACGGCCTGGCCTTTGTAAAGTCCAGCTGAGTTCTCGAACCACAAGTCTTTTCCGATGAAGTTGGATCCGACAGCCGCTGTTAAGAATATGCAATNAAATTAATTTGAACATGCCGTGGTAACTAAGATGTTTGTAAGTCCGAAAGAATGACAATTAGATAGGTTGACTTTTTGTTCAATATTCTAGTGATTCTTCTACTCCAAAGATAGGTTTAAAGCATTTAGGAAAGGTCAGGAACTTAAATAACTTCAATTAGATGTAAGAAAATTTACCTTGCCATGTCAATCGTCCCACGTGCTTTCTTGTTTCCTAGCCGATCTAACTGATCAGCTGCTTCCAAGACTAGCAATCTCGTTCCCTCAAGGTTCACGCGACACTGAAACAAACATAGTCATTCTCTAAAAAATTGTTATAGATTTTGGGGGGCAATCATGTGGCTACTATATCCAAATACTGGCATTGTTTGAAAGGAAGGAACCCTGCTCAGTGTCTCGGCCCTACATTTTTTACCGTGTGGCATCGTGATCTTGACACGCTCACGACTAGCCTTAAGGGGAATCAAGCCCCATATATATTTTTCGCCCCGGCTTTGTGGCTTCGTCGGACCTTAGGCGAAGTTTGTCTTCGCCAATCGAATATCGCTTGTGCGAAATCCAAGCTTCTTCAACTACACACGCCGCCTGCGCGTGCATGTTCAATTGTCTGCGACACATCCGACTTGCCTCTACACTAGGCCAAATCATTTGGCTCGACCTTGCCTCTGCTCGGGCCAAGGTTTCTCAATGCAACGTCGCTTCTCATCTTGTCATCTCGATCCCCATCGACGGGTCCATATGTCTTGATGCCACCCCGAGTCTCGGGATGTCGTCGGCCATCATAACTCGCTCGGTCATGCCATCGAGAATGGGCCCGCATGTCTTTCATCTCATCGAGACTTCCCGAACACCCATCCATCCAGGTTCTATAGAGGCATTGGCCCTCCCGTGCCCATGCCGAGTCATTTACGAATACCGTACCGGATAGCGGGTGTATGTACCAACCTCCAACACGAGGCTAGGGCGCAATACCGCCACACCCGTGTCGTCCGGTACTGTCCTTCAAAAATCCATTTCAAAGGAAATTGCCCGAGACACTCATCTTGGCACGCTCGCCCACACTGTGACACACGTATGTGCCACAGGTTAGCTCACTTAGACCACAAGGCCCAAGGTGGTGGAGAGCTAACACCATGGTACCCTTATAGTACATTTTAAGTCATTTTCAATTTTCAGGCGTAGACATGATTTTGGTGAACGGTCATACGGTGTTGTGCATTGTCCATCCGATGTCCGATTGACACCAAACAAACATTCATATTTCATATGGATGGACTTAAATCCCGAACCGCATGTCCAAATTCCTTTTGAAACCCCGACTTTTTGAGGTTAGGGCCTGAGGCCCTACCCTTCCCTTCAACAACCCTATCTTTACTCTTCATGTCTATTCAATGTCTCTATCTTGCTTATGTCTCAACTTGTCTTCAATGCCCACTTCGCATGGTGGTGTGTTGGATGATGGATCATCCTCCTCGATCACATCGTGACACTCTTCTATATTGGCCCGCATGTGGTCGGATGCGCGTCTCTTGAGGGACGCCAATTTGCTTGTCATGAGGTGAGGGTCACAACCTACTCTCTTCATAGTATGGTTGTGACATTCTCCCCCACTTAACTTAGTCATCGTTCTCGATGACTTACTCAGGCACAATCGTATTGCAGATTGTGACATTTTCCCCCATTTAATTTAGTCATCGTCCTCGATGTCTTTCTTGGGGCGCATTCGCCCCACTAATTGTGAAATTCTCCCCTACTCAATCTCGGCCTCGTTCGGATGACGAAACTAACTCTCTGAATGTTGCCAACGCGACTCGCTGGAATTGGTTGTGTTTAAGAAAGGTATATAATTATTAAGCACCTGACTATCTTTTGTCATAATGCTCATCTTGATGACGTCTTCCGTCAGCTTGGAGACAAGTTCGAGTGGATTCTTCTAACTTCTCTTTTGTCATGTGGCACCACAACTCTTGACTTGGTTAGTTGTTGGGTGAACTTGCCTCTAGATGCTTTGACTTCTCTTTTGTCATATGACACCATCTTTTGTCATATGACACTACGTTCTGACTCTTGACTTGGTCAGTTGTTGGATCTTGCTGACGTCTTCCGTCAGCTTGTTGACAAGTTCGAGTGGATGCTTCTAACTTCTCTTTTATCATATGACACCATGACTCTTGACCAATCATATGGCACCACGACTCTTGATTTGGTCAGTTGTTTAGTGAACTTGCCTCTAGATGCTTCCGACTTCTCTTTTGTCATATGGCACTAAGTTTTGACTCTTGACTTGGTAAGTTGTTGGATCTTACAGATGTCTTCCGTCAGCTTGGAGACAAGTTCGAGTGGATGCTTCTGACTTCTCTTTTGTCATATGGTACCACGACTCATGACTTGGTCAGTTGTTGGGTGAACTTGTCTCTCGATGCTTCTGATTTCTCTTTTGTCATATGGCACCAGGTTCTGACTCTTGCCAACATCTTTCGTCAGCTTGGAGACAAGTTTGAGTCAGAAAATAGAAGAGTTGTGTGAATCAAAAATACAAGGGAGGTTCATGGCCAAGGGAAAGATGCTCGAATAACAGTTATTTTGGAATGTACTGTTGTGTTTGAAATGGTGTTAATAAGGAATCCGTGGGGATTTTCAGATATATTACTCAAAAGAATCGACACAATACGCCTAGTTTGTTGGAATTGAGAAAATTCTGTCCCCGTTACAAACATACGATTCATGGGGAGATAAAGAAATAGATCAAACCAATCGTCTGTGTGTCCATGTAGCACCACGTTCTGACTCTTGACTTGATCAGTTGTTGGGTGAACTTGTCTCTTCTGACTTCTCTTTTGTCATACGGCACCTCTGGATCTTTTGTCATATGGCACCACGTTCTGACTTAGTGCTGAGCTGGTCTCTAATCCGGCCTATAATCAGTGGTATGATCAGGATCAACAGATCCTTAGCGGCCTTCTCTCCTCCATGTCCGAGGGGATTCTTCACGATGTGGTTGCCGCTACTACGTCCAAGGAGGCGTGGGATACCCTGCAGCGGATGTTTTCGTCATCAACTCGTGCTCGCACTACTCAGATTCGTGTTGAGCTCGCCACGACCAAGAAACGAGATCAATCTGCTACAAATTATGTTCGCAAGATCAAAGGGCTGGCCACCGAGCTGGCCGCCGCCGGCTCTGCCTTGCAGGATGGATCTTTTGTCATATGGCACCACGTTTGACTTGGTCAATTGTTGGGTGAACTTTCCTGGATGGGTGAACTTTCCTGGATGCTTCTCACTTCTCTTTTGTCCTTATGGCACCGTGTTCTTACTCTTGACTTGGTCAATTGTTGGCTCGTTTGTCATATGGCACCGCGACTCTTGACTTAGTCAATTGTTGGGTGAACTTTCCTAGATGCTTTTCACCACGACTCCTAGGTCAGTTGTTGGGTGAACTTACCTTTTTGTACATTCATCTGTAATTCTTTGATTTTTGAGACCCACCTTTAGCCTTCTGTTAACAACTTTAGGAATCCCATAAATATTTTCGAGACCCACCTATTAACATGGGAATCCCATAAATATTTTCTAGACCCACCTTCTATTAACATGGCACTACTCTTAATTTTTTATTTTCTTAAAAAAGTAAATTTTAAAATAAATTAAAATACTATTTAAGTTCTTTTTTATAATTTAAGATTCATTTAAGAGAAATTAAAAAAAAAATCCTAATAATTGATAGAGCCTAATTTTTAGATTTAAATTATGAAATTAATACTTTAATAAATTGATTTTATTTAGAAATTTAGTGGAGTGATTTAAAAAAACTGAAGATTTAACCATTTTTAAATTGATTTGATCTTATCATAAAATTATTTAGTTAAATTATAATATATTTTAAACTACAAATATTACAAATATTAAATCATGTAATCTCAACTCAATCAAATCAAGAAGAGGGAAAAGGAATCGTTTTATTCAAATCTTAAAATCTTAAAATGAATGATAAATTAATGTTCACGAATTTTTTAAATGAAACTGTCCCTATCCCTTGGTTTTAGACCATTGCCATGCCTAAGGCTAATCCAGGGATTACTACGAATAAACACGAAAAGCTTAAACTCATGAACTCTAGGAGCTCTATTCTCTTGGTTTTAGATTTTCATCAGGGCACTAGTGTACGGTATTCCGGTGTTCTTGATCCAATCATCACCTTGAATAAACAAGGAAGGGGTGAAATTGATGGCCTGTTTTGCTGTGATTTGTTTAACTCCCTTCCACTTAACTCTATTTTCTTTTGCTGCACCAGGTCCTCTATTATCAAACTCGGTGTAATACAAAGTATTGAGAGCAAAATCACCATTCCATGGAAGCCAACCTTCAGGCTGGATCAAGTCGTCGATTTGGCATTGCATGATGACGGTTCTTGAATACTGCTTCCATGGGCGACCAAGGTAGGACTTACTGGTATGGCGAACGGGGTAGTAGTCAGGGTCGGAAGAGATGGTGCAATTTTGGAGGACGATACCAGTGGGCTCATCACTCTCCATTCGACCTTGGGCAGTGATAGGGCATGGTTGTTTTGGCTTTGGCTTCCTCACTAAGATCTTACAGTTCTGTAACACGACAGCAGCATTGCCAAAGATGAAATCAACGGTACCGGAGATTGTGCAATCCCGGTAGAATTGACGTTTGGCATGGGGGTAGAAAGTATCTTGATAGCCGTCCATTCTACAATTGTAGAAGATTGACATGTCGGATTGAACTCGGAGTGCCACGGCCTGGCCTTTGTAAAGTCCAGCCGAGTTCTCGAACCACAAGTCTTTTCCGATGAAGTTGGATCCGACAGCCGCTGTTAAGAATATGCAATCATGTTAAATTCACTTATTGAATTCGTATGAATACGATTATAAATTAGATGGCAACTTACCAAAGGTAGCACTTTTGAATGTGGGTGTTCCATCCTCGACACTCTTGCGACCTGTGATCTTGGTCTTAGTCGGGCCGTCTCCAATCACCATGACATAGGTCATTTTTTTGTCCACCAACACTTGCTCTTCATAAACTCCTTCCTTCACATAAATCACAAAGGTTGTATTGCTCTTCAATGGTACCTCTTTAAGGGCTTCAGTTATTGTCTTGTACTTTCCACTTCCGTCTTTAGCCACCACCACATTCGCCTTGATGTTAGCTCCAGTGGCCTCGAGTAGCCCTCGCCTGTCGCTCACCCAAGATGGCTCTCCCTCTTGGTATTTATTGGATTCCTCTGTTCGAAGTTGTCGCCCCGTTTGTGGCAACAGTCCCAACTTCTCCCACAAAGTGCTCACAAGGGATGTAACCTCACCCACCATCACAAGTCCATTGGCGGTCATTTCTTTTGACGTCTTCAACAAATTCTTCATCTTTTCACCAGTATCGCCAGGAACATTCTCGAAACCATCCAAACAAGTTTCTTGATATGTCAATGCAGCGCTCAACCAAATCCTAAGGTTCTCAAGATAAGCATTCACTCTGTGTACATCAAAACTATCGGTGATTTTATCAAAGGAAGTTAAAAGATCATCAATTGCATAATCCATGAGCTCGTCGCAAGCATCAACTGCTTTTTGCGCCATGGGGTCAGTGGCGGCTTGTTTCAAAGTGGGGGAATTTGCAATGGCCGCTTTGAGCTGCTCAATAGCAAAATGGAACCCTGCCTTGACCAACTCACGTGGGTCTTTTGAGTCAACATTGGACTTCACCAGGACTTCTTCGCAAGTTTCACGATAAGTAGTGGGCTCACATAGAGTCTTAATGGCAGCATTAGAGGAGCCAGGTTCCTCTCCTGCGCCACTTACACCGTTAACCAAGGCAACAAAAAATAGAGACAACAACCCA